GGATCGGAGGAACCTCTGGCTAGAGGCCAGGTGAGGGATGCTGGTGTCTTTGCAGGCCAAGACCAGGCTGAGGGACACCCCGCCGCCACAACCTCTAGTCAAGAATAAAGAAAGTAGCTCTGGCTAGTCTGGCTCAGTGGATAGAGCATCAGCCTGCGGACTGAAAGGTCCCTGGTTCAATTCCGGTCAAGGGCATGTACCTTGGTTGCAGGCACATCCCCAGTAGAGGGTGTGCAGGAGGCAGCTGATAGATGTTTTTCTCTCATCAGGATTTCTAACTATCACTTTCCCTTCCTTTCTGTAAAAAAATCAATAATAATAATTTTTTAAAAAAAGAATAAAGAGAGCATCATAGCCAGTGTGGCTCAGTGGTTGAGCATTGACCCATGAACCAGGAGGTCACAGTTCAATTCCTGGTCAGGGCACAGGCTGCAGGCTCAGTCCCCGGAAGGGGGCGAGCAGGAGGCAGCTGATCAATGATTCTCTCTAATCATTGATAATTCCATCTCTCTCCCCCCTTCCCTTCCTCTCTGAAATCAATAAAAAATAACCCTATTGGTTTGGCTCAGTGGATAGAGCGCAGGCCTGGCACTGAAGGGTCCCAGGTTCGATTCCTTTCAAGGGCACCTACCTTGGTTTCAGACTCCCAGCCCTGGTTGGGTACATGTGAGCAGCAACCAATCAATGGGTCTTTCTCACACTAGTGCTTATCTCTGTCTCTTCCTCTCCTTTACCCTCTCTCTAAAAATCAACGGAAAAAATATCTTCAGGTGAGAATGAAAATAAATAAATAAAGTATATTTTATAAATATATATATTTTTTAAATAAAGGGAGTAGGTTGTATTGTCTCCTTTCATGATTGGTTAGCCTAGGAAACTAAAAAAGAACTTCAAATGGTTTCTTAATATGTATTTCTGTTCTTTTTTAAAAAAAAAATATTTATAATACATCCGTTCTCTGATCTAAGAATTTTTTAAAAAAATATATTTTATTGATTTTTTACAGAGAGGAAGGGAGAGAGATAGAGAGCTAGAAACGTCTATGAGAGAGAAACATCGACCAGCTGCCTCCTGCACACCCCCCAGTGGGGATGTGACCACAACCAATGTACATGCCCTTGACCGGAATCGAACCTGGGACCTTTCAGTCCGCAGATCGATCGATGCTCTACCACTGAGCCAAACTGGTTTCGGCTGATCTAAGAATTTACTTTTATTTTTGTTAATCCTTTATCCATGGATATTTTCCCATGGACTGTTAGAGAGAGAAGGGACGGGAGAGGCAGAGAGAAAGAAACATCAACGTGTGGATTGGCTGTCTCCTGCACGCACCCCAACCAGGGCCAGGGATTGAGCCTGCAACCGAGGTACATGCTCCTGACCGGAATCAAACCTAGAACCCTTCAGTCCACAGGCCCACGCTCTATCCATTGAGCCAAGCCAGCTAGGGCTACTCTAAGAAATTTTTTTTTTTCTTTCTTTTTTTCAAGTCTCATTCATTTTCCTCTGGTCTGCCCTCTTGATTGTATTTCAGTGGTGTAAAAGAGAAGCTACTTCTTTCCAAAGGAATTTTGTTTTCTTTTCCTTAGAAAATGAGGAACCAGCCTCCAGTGTCTGGAGCAGGTTGTAGGGTGAAGATAGGGTTAGGTTGCCTTTAGATTCTGTACACAAGGCTCTGATTGTTTTAGTCTGCATTCTTGCTACCAGAATTATCCTGCATGTCAACAAATAATTTTGATTTTTAAAACAAATCAGGGATGCTAAGGAATGTCACTGAGCCTTAGAAAGGCTTTACTTAGAAACTAAAATATCTTTTTTTAAGGAATAGAGAATAAAAGTAAATGTGATTACAATCCATCATATAATTTCTATGCCTACTCATTGTGAACTTTGCACTCTAAGATTACAATGCATGTGTATATCAATTGTGAAAATGTACTCATTCTTTCTTATACATGCAATATCCTTTTGGGGACCTTCTCCTCAAGTCTTTTGCTATCATCTTTTTAACTGCATATAAATAGTTAAAATTCCATCTCTTTAGTACTCTATGAGAAAGTATGTTGCCTTGAAGAAGAAAAGGCAAAATCCTTTCAAACCTGCTCTACTGGTTCTCAAAACCAAACTAGGTTAGATTTATACTTATTGAGGTTTAGGTAAGCCACTAAATACAGATAAGCAGTTAGGATGGTACCCATGAACATAGGTGTATTAACTAATTCATAAATTCAACCAACGAACATGGGTGCGATTTTTAAATTTTAAACAATTACCAAAAAGCCATGCCCTGGTCAGGTGGCTCAGTAAGAGCATTGTCCCAATGCTGCAGGTTCACTCTCTGGTCAGAGCACATACAAAAATCAACCAAGCCTATCTGATGAAAGAGTAATATGCAAATTAACCACCACTCCACCACCCCCACCAACCACACCTAGCACCCAATCAGGAGTGGTTATGCAAATTAGCCCCAACCAAGATGGCTGTGGCCATGGAGCAAGCAGGTTGAAGCCAAGCTTTCCACACACCCCGGGGGGGTTCAGGCCTCAACTCAAAGCTACAAAGTTTCCGTTATAGAAGATAAATAAATCCCAACAGAAATGGCTGCCACCACAAAAGAAGCAGAAAGCTTAACTCCGCTCCAGGCTACAAAGTTTCAATTGTAGAACATAAATAAATCCCAGATACTAGGGCTTCCACTTGGATGGCCAGGGGGCGTGGCCAGCCTGAAAACCTCCACAGGCCCCTATCCCAGGCTGCCTCACGCCCCAAAGAACACCTTGGGCAAACCAGCTGGCCCCACCCATGCACCAGCCCTTATCCTATCTAATAAAAGAGTAATATGCAGATTGACAATCACTCCAACACAAAAGATGGCTGCCCCCATGTGGTCAAAGATCCTGCCCCCATGTGGACACAAGGTGGCCACTACAAGATGGCCAGCAGGGGAGGGCAGGCCTGCAAGGGAGGGCAGTTGTGGGTGATCAGGCCAGCAGGGGAGGGTAGTTGGTAGGGACCAGGCCTGGAGTTCAAACCTGCAGAGGAGGGCAGTTAGGGGTGACCAGGCCAGCAGAGGAGGGAAGTTGGGGGTGACCAGGCCTGCAGGGGAGAACAGTTGGGGGGGAAACGGGACCAGGCCTGCAGGGGAGGGAAGTTAGGCATCAATCAGGCTGGCAGGGGAGTGGTTAGGTGTGATCAAGCTGTCAGGCAGAAGCAGTTAGGGGCAATCAGGAAGGCAGGCAGGTGAGGAGTTGGGAGCCAGTAGTATTGGACTATGAGAGATAGGATCGGGCCTAAACGGCCAGTTGAACATCCCTCAAGGGGTCCCAGATTGGAAAGGATGCAAGCTGGTCTGAGGGACACTACCCCCTGCACGAATTTTGTGCACTGGGCCTCTAGTATTTTTAATGAAATATTCTGCTGAAGGCTCAGGATTCTAAAAGTCTTATCTGTAGATTGGATAACCTGCAATTGCTTTATTATCATCTATTACAGTGTTTCCCAAAGTGTGGTACGCATAACCCCAGGGTACGGGAAGAGTTTGGTGGGGTACGCGTTGCACCGGAGTTTGGTGGGGATATGCACTGCACCGTGCTTAGCTGTGCCTAATTCTATGTTCTCATGAGTCCGAGGGGTACTCAGCATTACGAAAATTATAGAAGGGGTACACATATGTCAAAAGTTTGGGAAACACTGAAAGTGAAATGAGTTATAAACAGAAACAGACTTTAAATGTTCACTTGGTTAAAGACCACATTTTATTCAGCACTGACAAAAAACGTTTATGATTGACTTCTTGTTTAAAGTAGCCAGTTCAAAATTAGCCAAAATTATCCCAGAGAATTGTTTATATCATTAAAAAACAGACCAACCATTGTTTGAATTGTGACTGCTCCCCAAATTGGAGGATAAACATTCTTTCAAGACATTATGCAAAGGGAAACTAAGGCACAGAGCCAGGGAGCAGTTTACCCTAAACTGGAACAAGAATTGATTTGCAAGGTCTGTAATCCTTGTAATCCGATGTAATCCTCCAGTAGCCCCCATTATACAGAGACGGAAACTGAGGCACAAACCAGCCTGCATCCTTAGACGGAAGCTGATTCAAGGAAGACAAAACAAAGGTAAATAAGCGTGTACAACCCAAGTCTTGCTTGAGAATGATTTCTCTTCCCGCCTAACAAACTGGTGACGGGAGAGCATTTGCTTTTTTTCTAAATTGCTGGGGAGATGGTTCATTTCTGAGGCCCAGAGAGAGAGAGGAAAAAAACAAAAAACAAAAAACAGAGTGCAGGGTTCAGGCCCTCGTGCTCTGGCATCAATCAGATTGCAACTGAATTCTTGCTTCAGTCTAAGGGAAAATGCTCCTGGCTGTGCCTCAGTTTCCGTCTCTGTATAATGGGGGCTACTGGAGGATTATATCGGATTATACAGACCTTGCAAATGAATTCTTCTTCCAGTTTAGGGTAAACTGCTCCCTGGCTCTGTGCCTCAGTTTCCGTCTCTGTATAATGGGAGTTACTGGGGGATTACATTAGATTACACAGACCTTGCAAATGAATTCTTCTTCCAGTTTAGGGTAAACTGCTCCCTGGCTCTGTGCCTCAGTTTCCGTCTCTGTATAATGGGGGCTACTGGAGGATTACATCGGATTACACAGACCTTGCAAATGAATTCTTGTTCCAGGTTAGGGTAAACTGCTCCCTGGCTCCGTGCCTCGGTTTCCCTCTCTGCATCATGGGAGCCACTGGAGAACTGCATTGGATCACACAGACCTCGGGGCGGCGCCTCGCCGGTAGAAAGCCCGCACACTTGTGGCTCTGTCCAGAGTGCCCCGGGCCGGTCTTTCTAAATATAAGCGCAACGAAAATAGCCGGCGCAGGCCCGCGGGGCCGGCGGCCACGTGACCCGGGCGGCGGGCGGCGGGCGGCGGGGGGCGCTCCGGGCGGCGGCGGTGAATCATCGCAGACACCGGCGCGGCGGCCCGGGCGGCGGCGCGGAAAATGGCCGAAGCGGGCGCGGGCTTCGTGGAGCAGCTCAAGGCGTGCGCGGTGTGGTCCTGGACGTACCTGTGGGCCGTGTGGTTCTTCCTCGTGCTCTTCCTGGTCTACGTGCTGCGGGTGCCCCTGCGGATCAACGACAACTGGAGCGCAGGTGGGGCCCCTCCTCCCGGAAAGTTAGTGCCGCTCCGGGGCCGCCGGCGAACGCCGCCCGCCCCCGGCCCCGCGGCCCGGCGGCGGCTCCTCCCGGGCCCGGCGGCGGCGGCTCCTCCCGGGCCCGGCGGCGGGACGGGGCGGCGGGCGGGGCGGGCGCCTCGCGGACCCGGCGCTGCGCGTGGCCCGGGTCTGCCGGGCCGCCCGTGTCGCCCTCACCGCGGGCTGGACGTGCCGGCGGCCGCGGGCGCCCCCTGGGTGCGGACGGGGTGCTGCCGGGGGCCCGTCCGCGAAGCCCCCGAAGGGCCGCCCCGGAGGCGCGCCCCGACCACCGAGGCCGGACCGCTGGGGTGTGGGGTGGGCGGGCGTCCCTCGGACCCGGACCCTAGGGGTTCCCGCAGGTGCTGCTCCGGGTTGGGGAGACGGGGTGACTATAGGGGTGACGGGTGGGGAGGAGGAGGAGGGCAGGGTTAGGGTGCTCCGGTGACCGCTTCCCCCGCCGCCCGCACGTGGGCCCGCGGTCCCCTCACCGGAACCGGGACACGGCCAGGAGCACAGCCACCTCCTCCAGGGACCGCTCAGACACACCCACCTCCCAGGGACCTTTCAGACACACTCATCTCCCAGGGACCGCTCAGACACACTCACCTCCTCCAGGGTCCGCTCAGACACACTCACCTCCAGGGACCGCTCAGACACACCCACCTCCTCCAGGGACCGCTCAGACACACTCACCTCCTCCAGGGTCCGCTCAGACACACTCACCTCCCAGGGACCGCTCAGACACACCCACCTCCTCCAGGGACCGCTCAGACACACCCACCTCCTCCAGGGTCCGCTCAGACACACTCACCTCCAGGGACCGCTCAGACACACTCACCTCCCAGGGACCGCTCAGACACACTCACCTCCTCCAGGGACCGCTCAGACACACTCACCTCCCAGGGACCAATCAGACACACTCACCTCCCAGGGAATGCTCAGACACACTCACCTCCCAGGGACCGCTCAGACACACTCACCTCCAGGGTCCGCTCAGACACACTCACCTCCCAGGGACCGCTCAGACACACTCACCTCCAGGGTCCGCTCAGACACACCCACCTCCTCCAGGGACCGCTCAGGAACAAGAGTGCGTTCCGCAGGTCGGGCGGCAAGCCTTCGCCACGTCTGCAGATAGTTGTGGGACTAGATATATTGTTTTTGTATTTTTAAAAGTTTTTAATTTCACAGAACTTTGGGAAATTCTTACAGCCCTGAATATGTGTCTATGCCATGTCTGTGTGTGTGTGTGTGTGTCTGTGTCTGTGTCTGTGTGTGAGTCTGTGTCTGTGTCTGTGTCTGTGTGTGTGTGTGTCTGTGTCTGTGTCTGTGTGTGTGTGTGTCTGTGTCTGTGTCTGTGTGTGTGTGTCTGTGTCTGTATCTGTGTGTGAGTCTGTGTCTGTGTGTGTGTCTGTGTCTGTGTCTGTGTGTGTGTGTCTGTGTGTGAGTCTGTGTTTGTGTCTGTGTGTATGTGTATTTATGTGTCTGTGTGTGAGTCTGTGTTTGTGTCTGTGTATATGTGTATTTATGTGTCTGTGTGTTTCCCACTGAGGGTGGATGGACAGGCTCTGGGGGTCCAGGTCTGGAGATGCGTTTGCTTTCCGGTGCGGTGTCCACTCGCCCGCACAGCTGTCAGCACACTTGGGATGTGGTCCTTACTCACCTGCCTTTCAGTAGAAACCTTCATCACTTTACCCTGGACTCACGTTCACATTTACGTTGGTTTCATCGTGTCCCTTGGGTTAGTACCCCTGCCAGGCAGACAGGACTCTGCGCCTGGAGTCACTCATCACTTTAATAGTCACTGCTCAGTCCTTGGGTTCAGTCATCCCATGGACTGGACGTTCGGGCTTTTCATCTGTTAGGGTGGCTGCTTGTCACAACACTGCCTTCCTCGCTTTATGTAAATGTATCATTCTAGCCCTGACCTGTGTGGCTCAGTGGATAGAGCGTCGGCCTGCAGACTGAAGGGTCCCAGGTTCAATTCCAGTCAAGGGCAGGAACCTTAGTTGTGGGCACATCACCAGTGAGGGGTGTGCAGAAGGCAGCTGATTGATGTTTGTCTCTTATTGATGTTTCTAACTCTCTATCCCTCTCCCTTCTTCTCTGTAAAAATTCAATAAGATATATTAAAAATAAAAAGTGCTATCTTTTAGTCCCAAAGTCCTATAATTTTAAGAAGTTGATTGAATATATGTAGTAAGGGAATTGTATTTATTGGTAAGTGGGTTTTATATTTTTTCTTCCCAGAAGAGTCATTGTAGGATTTTAAAAATGTGAACATTTCTTATTTAAAATTTGTATCTAAGAACACACATTTGTATACTACATTCTTAAAGTAGATTAAATAATCACCCATGTGTGTATGTGTGTTCATGTGCCCATAAAATGCTATATACCAATAGTTTATGCAGAATAGGCGAAAAGCAAAAAAGTCCATGTTGGGAATGTGTATAGTTTTTTAAGGGAGAAATTATTAGGTCTTCTCACAGCAACTTTAATCTAGCTTTTTTCACAAATACCTTTGCTAATTGGAACAGGTTCATTTCTCATTTGAGCTTGTAAGAGAAAATCTGAAGATGAAGAGCCTATCTGGGTTGAATCTCATCAGCTACATGATAGAGGGAGACTGAGGCAGTTTCCACAGTGATGCTAGACGTCTATTTGGTTTTATGCACATTTTAGTCATAAAGGAAGGTAAAAAGAGAAGCACACAGAGCAGCTACCTCTGCCGCTTCTGGGGGAAGAAGTGGGAGACGCAGACATCGGAACCTCCCATGGAGGAACTTGTTTTTTGCCTGGAGATCTAAAGGGGCTCTTAAGGGGCTCATTTTGCTGTTCCTAAGCCCTGCGGTGCCAGCTCTTCCTGTGCGGTGAAGGCTATGTCCCCGGAGAGGCAGGGAGTCCAGAGCTGCTTGTAGGGAGTTGTGGCTGGTTGCAGGCCTTCCTCAGGAGAGCTGCGGACAGGCTGAGGGAGGTAGATCCTGAGCCAGGGCTTCCATGACACCGACCCCGTTCTGCTCTTGTAGGGTGGTGGGCTCTGGGGAAAATGTCCCTGAGTTGCCCTGACTGGTTTGGCTCAATGTTTAGAGTGTCAACCTGTGGACTGAGAGGTCCCAGGTTTGATTCCGGTCAAGGGCATGTACCTTGGTTGTGGGCACATTCCCAGGGGGGGGTGTGTGTGCAAGAGACAGCCGATCAATGTTTCTCTCACATCGATGCTTCTAACTCTATCCCTCTCCTTCCTCTCTGTGAAAAAAATCAATAAAATATTTTTTAAAAAATGTCCCTGAGTTGTTCTTGATGTCTACATGGCTTATTTTTCTTCATATCTTGCTCACGGATGGCATCTTTAATATTTCTGACCTCATTCGATCATATTTTGTTGTAAATATGCTAAACCCATTAAATTTCTCTTGAATGCCTCTTATGCATAGGGCATTGTGACAGGTGCTGTGATGGGAAAGATAGTGCAAGTTTGTAAAACTCCGGTTAAATAAGGAGTTTACAACTGGGTACAACGTCTCATAATGCAAAGTGGAGCAGGGGTAGGCCCTGGGAGCCTCTTTTGGACGGAGTCTTGGGGGATGAGGAGAATTCCACAGATGTGAGTTGGAGACTCAGGATGGGCCTCCCACACAAAGGCTGGGATATGTGAAAGTGCAGGTCAGATTCAGAGCACTGGGAATCCTGGACTTAAAACAGTAAAGGACCTTTATTGAACAATGCTCCCTCTGCAGTTCTCCCATCGTGTGTAGTTTTCCAATGAAAACTACCTTCAAGGTTCTCTTCGTGCTGTCCTTTTCCTTCTCTACCCCCACCGTCTGGATTTGCTTGCCCGTTTATTGCATCGAGCTGCCCTGTAGGGTTGGAATAGAGTCCAAACAATTTCACTGTGTTTGTTAGGCCACCCAGAGAAAACTTCAGTTAGGCAACCAAATCTAACAATGAAAAGTGACTTTGAAGAAGGAAAGTGGAGAAAGCAAACATATTAGGAATAGCATGTACTGGTTAGCTTTGATAATTGCTTTTTGATGCTCTGCCCTTGAGTTGGATAAAAGAATGTTAAAATAGTTTTTTGATTTACTGAAAATACAATGAACTTTTAACATGATTAAAAAACACCCTCTGAATTATATAATTGTCACTTTTCAAGTGAATTAACATCCTAAAACTGCTTTTCCAGAAGGACAGAAAATTAATACATAGGAGTAGCCATGCAGGATATAATCAAGAAAAACAGTAGAATAGATTAGTTTAAAAATAGTGCTATAATTTATACTGTGATGTTGATATCTCCTTCTCATCTACATTATGTTCTGTGAATTTTAGATGCTGCATTTAAAACAGTTTGCATTACCATTATTGTACCACACAAGTAATTTTTTCAATTCTTTCTCTGTTTCCTGGAAAACAAGTTTTCAAAGATCTTTGAAATTGTATTTCATTGTTTTTGGAAAACAAATGTAATGGTCTCACCTAAACTTAGTGTTGCTTATATTATAAAACGTGTGTGTGTGTGTGTGTGTGTGTGTGTGTGTGTGTGTGTGAGAGAGAGAGAGAGAGAGAGAGAGAGAGAGAGAGAGAGAGAGAGGGAGAGGGAGAGAGGGAGAGAGAGAGAGATTTAAGGTGATAAATACAGATGCTAAATTCTCATTACTGAACTGAAATGATACATAACTTCAGGTGCAGCTCAGTTTTGAGTATTTTCATTCTGCAAACAGTTGCTCTAAATTTAATTAACACCGGCCTGCTTATCTGGAAGGCCTGCTTTCAGTTTACCTACTTCGTTTGCCCCTGCTGTGCCTGTTTACAATCTTCTCCCATTTGTAAATCTTACCAATCCTTCAAGAACCACCTTGCATGCTGCCTTCTGATTGTTTCAATAGAAAGAAATATTTCTTCCAACTTTTACAGTGCATTTATTATCTGAGAGGCATGTTGGCTGTTTACCTTGCA